AATAAAATACCCTAGTATAAGAAAGACTTTGGAATTATTATATGTGTGATTTCCCATGGAGAATCAGAGAAAAAGTTAGTTATTATATTTATGATTTCCAAGATAACTGGTAATGTAAAATAATGCAAATAAGACCCTACCACTGAGGAAGGGTTTCAGATTTCAAATTTCTGTCTCTCAAAGTTCTTTCTTATTTCTTTTGAAAGAAATAAAAAATAATTAGAATTGACTTTTTATATTTTTATTTCATCTTTAATTTTCCTAACATCCAACTCTGAATTAGTAACTCTGCATTTCATTCTGATGTAATTTTTATTGTGGATGCTACAATACAAATTTTTTTCCTGCCCTGGATTGTATTGGTACATTTCATTTATGATGGGCACAAAGTAACTCATGGAAAGCTTCAATACATTTCTGTTCATTGTATTATCTTTCACAACCTGATTCTCAAAGGCCCCTTGTGGCTTGTTTTTTTGTTTTTGTTTTTGTTTTTTCTCCAAATTAAATAGCATTTTTTTTTTTTTTAACCCAAACACACACTATGTGTGCTCTCCCATCCTTGGCTTTGCTCTCTTGCTGCTCAGGATGCTCTTCTCCCTGTCACTATTTTTTTGTAAAATATTATCTGACATCATCTAGACCCGATTCAGTCATGAAATCATTCATTCTTTGCACAGTACTTAGTCACTAACTGATCTCTCTCTTATTTGTTTATTACTTTGTTTATTGTCTTTCTTTCTCCTTCAGACCATAAGCCAAGTGAGAACAGGACTTTTTCTTTTTTACTGCAAAATCCCAGTGCCTAGAACACTGCATCGCATAAAGTAAGTGCATTAATTGTTCATTGAACAAATAAGTAATTATCAAAACAGATCCAAGGATTAAATGAATATAGTAAGATTCTCTATGCCGATTTTTAAAAAATAACACAAACATTTATATTCCAAAGTATAGGTTAGCACTTCATCTTAATGTAGTGTTATTTTGACAAAGCTGTGAGAATTAAGGAAGATAATGTGATATCTTGAATCAGTCAAAAATAATTTCTAACACCTAAAGTTGAAAGAATTCCCATTTGTAGGTGCTATTTTCCTCATATGACACTGTGCTTATCATACTCCACTTATAATCTAACTAAACTTATTCTCTTGGTATACTAAATTCTTTATGCAAAACTTCTCTTGATTTTGTCATATAATTCAGAAGGATTCAATTAAGTGAAACCTACCTTAATGTGGCTTTGAATGAATTTTTTAGCAAGAACAGATTTTATTTTGCAAAGTAGGTAGTCATTTTAATATTAACCTATATGGATATAGAATGGAAGAGGCATCGTGTATATGTGTATATATACATATATGCATATATGTGTTATATGTGTATTATATGTGTATATTGTGTATATATGTGTATTGTATGTGTTATATTTGTATTATATGTATTATATGTGTAATATTACATATAACACATATATATGCATATATAAGTGTATATACACATATATACATATATATTATATATTACACATATATACACATATATTACACACATATATACACACATATGTATATGTGTGTAACATGTAATATTACACATATAATATATAAATATATGTATAAATATATTCTATATATTATATATGTAATATAGCACATATATAATATATATATATATATAACAAAATGCTGGAATCCCTAAATCTTCAGTAATACAAAATAAAGTGTAGTAGTTCTTAGTGGCAAGCACAGGGCTCTTGAATCTGAGTGTTACTATTCTTAAGGAAGTTGCTAAACCTCTATGAGCCTCAGTTTACTTATCTATTGAATGGGATAACAATATCTACTTTTCTGGGCTTCAAAGAGGAGAGAGAAACCAACCTAGCACCAAGCCTAGCATATATTAAGTGCTCAATAAGTATCAACTGAATTAATGAATTCTGTTGAAAATAGTTACCACTGAACTAAATTACTATATATAATTTAATGAAAAATTGTAGTGATTGTGTAACCAAATAGCTAAAACAAAAGTATAATTACCTGTTTTAACAATTCCTTGATTAACACACAATCAACAAAACAAAACACATACAAATAGATCAAATACATTGACCATGATGGAATACTATGGTTAGTACAATAGTGGTCCAGGCAATTATTCATGAGACCTAAGTATGATCACATTTCCTGATGCCAAAGAAGAGGGCATGGAACTTTTCTAATGTCTCTGCATATCTAAAGTAGAAACTCACAAATACTATCGAGGATAGTTACTCATCTTCCATAAAAAAACAAATTCTAATAGATATGCAGTGTTTGTTATTAATTTCCTACACCTACATAGACATAAGCTAAAGGTATTGAACTTGTCACTACTAGAAAGAATAACTAAGGAATAAATGGTAATTTGCGCTTTTACTTTTTCTTTCAATCCTTACAAAAACTCTACAAAGTCAACATAGAGAGATTATGGCAGAGCAAATTTTCAATTAGGGAGCTCAAGGTATAAGTCCAGAAACCTGCTATAAAATATTTGGTACTGGGTATACATCAGAAAACAAAAAGACAAAAACCTAATTTCCTAGACCTCACAATCTGGATTTGTGTTGAAATTGCTACAATTATGGCTTTTAGACTTATGAATCAAGCCGCTCAAATACATATTCATAATAAAGTATGTTGTTAAAAGTACTGCATTAGTGACCAATGGATTTGTATATTCCTTTCATCCTCAATTATTGAATGAGGTTTGATGTTTTGTGCAAATCCACTGAACAGGCTCTGCTGTTTATTTTTACAATGTAACTCTATTCTGTTGTTTGATTTAGGGGATGTGAATAATGATAATCAACCAGAATTGTTGCCTCTTCCTGTCCTTTCTATGCTGCTTAGAGCCCTTACTGCATGGAATTCTCACAGCTTGCTCATTTTTTGTCTCCCAACCTGGACTGAGCACTGTCCAGGGAAAGGGCCACATCTCTTTAATCTTTGTGTTGCCTGCCCCTAGCATAGTGCTTGCCACGTGGTTCAGGTGGGATGTATGTTTGTTGTATGAGTAAATGTATATATTGTTTTCAAAGCACAGTCACATGCACATATCATTAGACCCTCACAAAACTGAGATTGTAGAGTGAAATTAGTGCTCTCATTTTACCAAATCTCAGTGAAATGGAAGGTTATTAATTCCTCTGTTTGACAGATGAGGAGAAGGGATCAGTGGGAGATTATGTGATTTCTGAAGAGCCCATAACTAAGACTTGAATTTCAAGATCAGAGTTCTTTCTTAAAACACTAAATGAAAATATAGGCATACTGAACTACTATTTTAAGTACGTCTTTAGGATCTACTTGGTGTATGGCCAGTCATCTTTGACTTGCTCAAATCATTGGTGAAATCTTGCCTTTTTTTTTTTTTTTCAAATGTAAAAAATGGGAAGGAAAAGATCTTCAGAAACCACCCACATTGTAACTGGAAGACAATGAAATAGATTACATGCAAATATTTTGCTGTAAACCAGTGTCTGCCTTTAGGAATATATTGCTAGCCAAAACAATTTTGCTTTGTCATAGAGAAGGGGATGGAGGCAGCTTTGTCATTTCCAATCCTGAACCCACAGTCATCACCTTTCTGCTTACGTAAGATTTCTATATGCTTCTTATTTTTCTTGATCAGGAAATGAAAGTCCCTACAGTGGCAGGATAGTGGAAGCCATCTGTTGGGGTGAAGGGGTCACAGCCAGTATTTGAAGGTTCTAGTCACTGAATTCTGATCAACTGACTCTAAAATGACCCTTTTAATAACATTATCTCCCACCAGACCACAGGCTACATGAAGGCAGGAACTGTCCTCAACTCCCAAGTGAGACCATTGCACATGGCATGGAACCCTCCTAGCTTATTTCCTGTCACACACGTCAATGAATCAGCGAGTGGCAACTCTTAGTAACCAGTGGCTATAAATCAACCCCCAAAAGTGCTAGGCACACGTTTTTTAAACTGAGTGACAGAAATTTCTCTTTGTGTGTGTGTGTCTTTTAATTTAAAACCATTTTTAAGAAGTTTGTGTTTAAGGTATATTATTTTCTAGGCCATACACTCGGGTCCTTAATGGAGACCTAGTGATGGAACACTGGTCTTAAGTCCGTTATCCTGGATACTGTTATACCTCAACATTCCAAAAAACACTTTAACAGAAATTAACAGCAACTATAATGAAATCCTGATATTTCTGAACTAGAAGCGCTTTCCAAGGGATGGGATTACTGGGTTGACAATTTCTCTTAATCTGAAACAAACAAACAAACAAAATCCATCTTCCTTCCTCCCTCCCTCCCTCCCCCCATCCCCTTTCAGTCTTCTTCCATCCCGAGAGACGCACGAAGACTCTGACCGTTTTTATTTGAGTGGAAAGTTGAAAGAGAGCAATACACCGGCTGCACCCATCCAGCGCTTCCTGGGGTGGAATAGCAAAGTTCTAGGGTACAGCCTTCCTGCCCGGAGCTGGCGAGGCAGCCGCTCTCCGCTACCTGCTCAGCTTCACGCCGCCTCTGAAGGTCCGCCCGCCGCGGAACAGTTGCGTCTCCATCTGGCTGCCAACCCACCCAAGCTTTCTTCTCCTCCACCACCACCACCTTCCCTCCTTCCCCCCTCCTCCCCCTCCTTTCCGTCTTCCCTCTCCACCCCCGCCCCCAATCTCCTCCTCTTTTTCTCACTACAAGCGGTTGCTGATGCTGAAGCCGAGCGTCACTTCGGCTCCCACGGCAGACATGGCGACATTGACAGTGGTCCAGCCACTCACTCTGGACAGAGGTAAGGGAGCGGCTCGCCCGCCAGGCCACTGCGTCCCCTCTGCCTCCCTCTCTGCCCCTGCCAACTCCCACCGGGACAGCCGGACGCGCTCGGGCAGGGGCAGCAGGGCGAGCGAGGACGAGCGAAAACGAGCGTAGAAGGCGTTCGCGCGGAGAGCAGGATACTTTCTTCCCCTTTCTCTGCCCGCCACGTCCCCACTGTCCCTGCATGCTGCGCTCGCCCGGCCCAGGGATGCCTTCGCCGGGCTCTGGCGCCCCCGCTGCCACTCCCAGCCCCTCGCCCGGTCGCCTCCGGGCCGCCGGCTTTGTTGGAGCGGAGGCACAGAGACCGGTAGGCGCCCGGGGCTCGGGGTTGGAGAGGGGCAGGGAGGAAGCTCGCCGCGCCGGGCGAGGGCGCCTGCAGCCGGAGACCGGGGAAGCCTGGCGAGGGAGCCGCTGCCAGCCTGCGCAGCCCGCGGGCCCGAGAGGGAGGAAGTTTGTCCGGGCGCGGGGGAACGAAGGTCGGTAGGGCTGCGGCTGCTCGGGCGGCCGCCCGGGGGCGGAGGAGGCGCACCCCGGGGTGGCCTGTGCCGGGGCGCGCGGCGGCTGGGCTGCAGCGGCGAGGAGCTGCCCTCGGCCGAAAGGGCAACGTGGAGCACCGGCAGCAGTGCCCGGGCTGGGGGCGCAGCGTCGCTGCCGCGGAGCCCGACTCTTTCCGGTTTCTTGCTCCGAAGGCGGCCGGGGTCTCCTCTGTCCCTCGCCGTCCGCCGCGCTCCGGTGGTGGCAACTCAGTTTCTCCTGCCCCGGCCAGCCTCCTTCCTTCTCTCCCCAGCCCGGTGTCAGCGCGGCACCCCGGCTGCGGAAGGCGCTGGGACGCAGCGCGGACTGGCTTGAAATTCAACTTCTGACCCGCGACCCGGTGCGTCTTGCTTTCCGACTTGAATGGGGAAGCAGTGTTTGCTTCCTCCCAGGACCTCGCCAAGCCCAAGGCTAGAAACCCCCGCTGCTCTGCGGTGGGGTGGGGGGGCCTCTCTGGAGCGCGCGTACGAGGCTGTACCTGTGCCTGTGTGTTCGGGTTTCCTTTCTGGCTTCCGACGTCTAGTTATGCAGGCGCGGGAGTCCCACGACGCCGCAGCGGAGGACACCTGCTCGTCCCCGACCGCAGCAGCCGGATTTAGGACCCTGGGCGGCCATTTGGAAATGGTGTGCTCAGTCGGAGATGATTTAGTCCGATGTGCCTCTAAAAATATTCTTCCTAGCGGATTAAACTGGACTGTGGGGCAAAGCGAAAGAGCATCCCGCTGCGAGTACAGTGCAAAAGCCAGGGAACTCAGTGGGGTTTTAATTTGGAGAGATTGTGGATGACTTTAACGCAATCTGTTGGCGCCAGAACAGATAGTATGTAGTGCCCATAGCAACCTTACTTGGGGTAAGAGTTGAAAAGTAAAAACCAAAAATAAATAATTAATCAATTTAATTAAATTAAAAAATGTAATAATTGATTTATGTTGGGAAACGTTGATTTGCAAGCTACTAAATTAATAACAGTAGTTAAAGAACTCAGAAATCTAGGATATAATCCATGATTTCACCCCAGTATCACCATCTACACTAAGCAGGATAAATCCATTGCCACTAAGAGCCAGATGGCAAGCTATTAGAAATTATGGATTTCCCACGAATTTCTGTTTTAATGTTATGAGCTCTTATATCGTCCCATTACTAAATCAGCCTTTAAATATCCCAAGTAAAACGACTATACTGGGAGAAAAAAAACAACTGCAAGAAAATTGCCTACCTGAGCAATTTTATATATTAAGACTACTAAAAGTATTTCACCTCTTGGGTTTCACCTTAGCCCCGAGATTCCTGACGCAGTTGTGGAGAAGAAGTTCAATCAGACGGGGATCTATTCTTTTTTTTTTTTTTAAGATTTTATTTATTTATTTGACAGACAGAGATCACAAGTAGGCAGAGAGGCAGGCAGAGAAAGAGGAAGGGAAGCAGGCTCCCCGCCGAGCAGAGAGCCCGATGCGGGGCTCGATCTAAGAATCCTGGGATCATGACCTGAGCTGAAGGCAGAGGCTTTAACCCACTGAGCCACCCAGGCGCCCCAACAGGGATCTATTCTTAAAGTTTGTTCTCGTTCACAGCCAGACTGTACCTGTCCTTTCCAGTGTGATTAGGTCCATTTAGTAAGTAGCTCAAGAGGCAGAATGAGACTAGATGTAGCTGAATAAATTAACCAGCAGCCAACTGCAAAGTCTGATTTGTGGATGATGAGTTATTGGCACCATTGCTGTCCATGAAGTCAGTGTGTATAAATATTTTTCCCTCTACCTTATTAAGACATGATTAATTATTTGATTAATTGCATCATTAAACCAATGAGAGAAAGAGTTCTGAAAAATGCTCCTACAAAAAAATACAAGTCTGTTTAGAAAGGCAGCCCAATAATACTAATCTGGGCCCTATTTGGTTAGAATGTGGTGCTTGCTTTGGATGGGTTGGTTAGCATCTTTGGGCATCCGTTTCCCTCTGTGCACTGTAAGGAATTTGGATTAGATGATTCTGACACTGTGCAACTTTAGTAGTCTATAAGTCAATTAGTTGAAATTAGAACGCAGTTTCTGGTCATCTACTGGAAGATTTTCCAGATTAGTCCCTCTCCCAGGTTGTTTGAGTGACCTTTGTTGTATCCAGAGGTCACCCACTGATTTGGCCCTATCAAAGCATTTCTCATATGCTGGTGCATCTGTCTCCTTGCTGAATGGTTGCTCCTTGAGAGACGAGACCATTTCTAAATTCATTTTCATATTCTCAGTGCCTGTCATAGTTCCTGACTCACAGTAGAAGATCAAAAATTAACGTGAACTAAGGACTGCAGTAATTTAAACAGTGTTAAAAGATAGGGATTTAGTAGTGAACCAAGGTACCGTTCATAGATTCATGACATTTTGGCTCTGGGAAAGATGGCAGGAAAAACACAGGCCAGTGGTTCTTAACCTTTCTTTCCCTCTGTGTGCTTGACAGATTCCTATCAGTAACCATAGCTCACCCAAGCTGTGATTAGTAACCAAGGGGGGATGGAGCAGGTAGGCAAAGGAGAAGGAAAGAAGATGCTTGACAAAGCCTCCCAAAGGCATCTCAGCAAATCGGAATGCATAGATCCATAATTTGATTTTTTTTCCTAGCATCTTTCCTTTTCAAGTGAGAAATATTGAAGAAGTAATAAGTATTTTCAAGGTTACTCTACTAGTTAGTGGGAAGTTTTATGCTAAAATTTAAATCTCTTTGTTTGATGCCCTTTGGCACCATAAACCGATTTATCTGGAATCTTCAGGGTAAAGGTTTTAAGCAAATAAATCAAACCTGTGGATTGAAATTAAGATTTACTCCTCCCAGAATTCAAAAGATATTACCTGAAAGTAAGAAGCTCAGAAGTCTACACCAGCTAGCTTCTTGGACCTTGTTTGGGAAGCAAGATTTTGCCAGGACCAGGCTGGGCTCTGAAAAGATGAACACAGGGACTTAATATTCCAAACTCTTTTCTACCTTCCATTAAGACCTCATATTAAGCCTGTAAAGGCCTCTGGTGGCTATGGCCAGAGCTGGCTCCTGTTTACCCTGGTCCTAGTCCTTTGGATTCTTTACTCACTCATTGAATGCCTGGTATAAGGCAGACCCTACTATAGAAAGGTTAACTGGTTAACACGGTGGTGAACTAAACAGACATAATTCTAATCTCTGTGGCAGTTAAAGACCATGGGGAGAGAGAGATTATCCATATAAATACATATGCACACACGCATACACAAAAAAATTCACTCATGCAATAAATATTCATTCATTGAATGTATATATCATATATGTATATACACATAAGGTATACATGTGATATACTACTTTCTCTATATATAATATACTATAGAAATACCAGAAACAAAAGTTTCTGCTTTTCTGGTCCTTAAGAGTGTTGTGGTAGAAACAGATAATAAGGGACTGATTAGTTAATTCAACAAATAAGTATTGAGTGTCAGCCTTATGGAAAGCATTATTTTCAGCTTTGTGGCTAATGAATAAAAGAGATAAAGTCTAGCGGAGTTTACACACTCATGAGTGAGACGCAGAACATATTCACATACAATGCCACCAAGAAAAGCTAAGACTGGACCAAGGAGAGTGGCAGGGGCTGCTCTTGTGGATGTGAGAGTCAAGAAAGGCCCTCCCTCCTGGACTGATGACATTTGAGAAAAGATCCAAAGGAAATAAGGAAGCAAACTCTGCAGACATGGTGGGGGTGGGGTGGTAGTGATGGGGGTTGCCCTCTGCAGAAGGATGTTATCTGTGCATCCTAGGAACAGCACGGAAGTCTACATGAAAAGGAGAGCACAGGGAAGAGTGGTGGAAAGTGAATGTGTGAAGTTGGTGGCCAGGAATCAGATGATGTAGGTTATGATGTGGATTTTAGATTGGTTGAAAGTCTGAAGACAGAAATGATGTGAAGATGGAAAAGAATGGGGAAGGACCTATTTACATGGTGTTAGGCAAGGAAAGGTCATGAGAAAGCAAAATTTAAAACTGAGTTCTGATGCATTAATACAATTTTTAGGAACAACGTTCTGGTTAAAGGGAAGAATACACATAAAAGCAACTTGACTGCATACAGCTTGGCTACCATTCCATTAATACATCTAGAACCAAACAAACGATCCAAAAGAAGAATTACCGAGAAGCAGTAACACTCCAAATGTGCCTCCTAGGATAGAAATTTGGTTTTAAGTATACCAAGAAAATCTATAGATCAGCTTTTTCTTATTGCTGGGATAAAATATCATATAATTAGATTTTTAAAGACATACTGAGAGCTGTAATGTACACATCACTATGCATAAATCTACATGTTGAACCCAAGTGGTCATACTATGAGATAGAGTCATTTTTAGTCTAATATTTTATATTAACAGTGATGTAGAAAGTAGTACCTGTAATTTACCCTTGTGGCAGAGAGAAGAGCCTGATAAGGAGATTAGTGTGGAGTCTTCTCTGCCAGAATTTAAAATGTTTATAGCAATTCTTACCTACACCAGAGGTTAGTTTGTCCCCGATTATAATCTCTAAAACTGGGAATGACCTTCAGCTAAACTCAAGAGAACAAGGCAGGATGCAATCCATGATACTTAACACTTTCATAACAAGGGACACAGGAATACTTCACTACATCAAGACTTCATGGATTTAGGCACTTTCTTAAATACAATAGCTCCAACTCTCTTTCACTTTCCATCTCAACGTCAGGAAAGATAACACAACTGAATTCTTCAAAATTTCACTTCTTTCTACCTCCCCCCT